GCAATTAGAGTGCTCTTTCCCTTAATTACCATTTTTTTCGGTTGATTACCTTGGTCTAGTTCAATTTCAAAACGGTAGCCTTGTTGGAGAGTGTTTAAAGTTGGCTTATGGAAGTTTACTACTTGCGTTTCATTCAGGACTAATCCAAAGACCCTCAGCCAAATATAGGTAGTTACAGAGGTGGTTAAGAATTCGCTGCACCTCCATGCTCTCTCTCGCGTGGTCTGGATTCACATATCCCCGCCGTACCCCCCTTGCATCCGTTACGCACCATTTCCGTTATAGGCAAGATAGTTCACAGTCCCAGTTGGTACGCCCGTGAGCACGTTCTTGGTTGAGAGTGCTTGAAGCCAGACGCAGATCAGGGACGGGCTGATACCTTCTAGCGACGCAATGTAGGCGCCTAGCCCAGCAACATGAGCTGCGGCCAGTGATCCGGAAAGAGTTGCCTGTTTCTTGGGTTAGCAAGTTTTTTACCACACAACGAGAGATTTTAGTCATAGTCAAGAGAGCGAACTAACCGTGCCACCGTTCAGATACGTAGTAAGAATGCTCTGGCCAGGAGCCCAGATATCAAGCAAAGCCCCAGTGTTGCTTGCAGAGCTGACAGAATCGTCGGCGTTAGTCCCTCCAACTGTGCAGGCCGAAGGTTCGGATGCAGGAGAATAATTGCCCACATTAGAGGCGTCATTTCCTGCATGCACTGCAACAAACTTGTTGCCGCTAACAAGGGCCGCCACTGCAGCATTTACAGAGGAGGAATAGCCACCGCCAAGAGCCACAAGAACCATGACGCCTTTGGGGCAGCTTCGTGTGGTAGCATCTGAAGTGATCCAGCTGAGACCGGAGAGCAGATTGCTCACGGTACCAGAACCACTATCACTGAGGACCTTGACGCCAATAAGGGTGGTCTGCTTTGCAACACCATACAAAATGCTGCCTACGACTCCAGCCATGGCAGTGCCATGTCCATTGCCATCAGTGTTGGTACCACCAGCGTAATTAGCCCCTGCAAAAGCACGCCCACCAAATTGCTACATTACCTCCGCGGTTAGCAAGCGAAATGTATTGATTACGGAAATAGGGGCAAAATTACCGGATGAGTTGTCTCAATTCCTGTACCAACAATGTAGACGCATGTACCCGAGCCAGCACTGTCATCGTAAATATAGTTGGTGGCGCCTCTGGCACGATGCGAGATTCGAGCCAGGTTCCATCGCGATGTAGGCTCGGTCACCAGGCTATCGATGGAGACAACTGAATCCTCTTCGATGTAGTCAACCTGTATAATGAGACTTAGCATCCCAGTCCTTTTTCTCCTGCTGAATGCGTTTGCAGACGAGAGAAGGTAAGTTTAACTCACACTAGGATGACCACGAAGCTTCTCTAGGGTCGAAGCATCCAAAGCGGCGGCAAATCCGTTGAAAATGCCCTCATATGTATTTTCAACATTCACTGATAGAGAGCTTAAGACATCATCAAGCGTAGAGAATTCAAGAGAGTCTTTGAACTTAACAATGTATTTGCTGGCAACTTGTTCCCTCACCTGATGCAGTGAAGAAGGTGCTGCAAGGGCAAGATGAGTGAAGAAAAGGGGCGCGAAGACACGCATTCTAGGCAATGAGAGAGTAAATGGTACGCTTGATTATGCTCGTTCAAAGTGGCATGAAATCATACATCAGCCTAGGTGGTACTTCGTGCCTTTATACATGATATGAGGCCAGCTGAGCTCAGGCTTGCCACACCAATATGTCTCGGTTACAATCCTACATATCACACCTTCCTAACAGGTGCAATATTGATGTTACACCCCAACCTATAATCGATCCACAAATTAAACGATAAGGCCTTAAATGGCGTAGATCTATGGAAGTATAGTCGTATTATAGGAACGCGGCTGAACGCGGCTGAGGCTGTTAGGAAGTTAATTGGCCCCGAGATCCGTCGTGAGGGGCGCCATGTGAAAACGACTGCATGAGTCTAACTCGGAGTCGGAATGGAATTGGGCCATTTCATGATATGCTTATTCGAATGATAAGACATGTTTGACATGGCGGGCTGTATTGGTGCTGAGAGGCTGCCGTCGTCGCTGACCCCAGCTAAGGAGCGATAAAAGGCTGACGTTGATCGTAGCCTTCAACAAGCAACAACCAGACATTACTTTCCAATTTTACCTCTGGGAGTGGTGCGTTCAAGGGCCCTTGTGGATCCCTACGGCGTATTGATTATAAGCAATCACTTGATCAAATGACTTTTCTTTCCTAGAACACCCCAAGCAATCCAAAAACTAGTTTAGGCTTGACTTCATTTCCCTCCTCGTTAGTTGGTCTTTACGAAATTTGACTCCTCCTAGTACCCCGATCGCGACCGCGGACTTCAACACCCCACAGAGCACTCAGTACGCAGAAATGTTTAGGTTGGATCAAAAATGAACTGGAACATTGGGTTTGGGTGGGCATGGAAGAAGAATGAACATTGAATTATGACAGCAAAATGCAATACAAGGCTTGTTCTCATTTCTTGATTCATTGAATGATAGTATTTCACGTTGGTTTTATACCATGTAGGCTAAATGGCGTGTATCTAATTATTGATAGGTCTGTTTCTCCAACGGCGAAATGTGAAAAGACTAAGGAAAAAGAAGCAATTCATAGTTTCATGGAAGTTGGAAAGGCCCAGATGACACTCTTTCCTACCGCGTGGCAGTTATTTAGAAGCGTACAGGTTCCAGGATCAGAATAAACTCTCATTTCCTGTTGCTATGATTCTCTTTCTCCCTCCTCTCTCTACGATGCCACATCGGCCTAAACCTAGGTAGTACCAGGTACATCGAAAGCGGTCGGAAAGGGAAGATGGGTAACCCTAAGAATTGAATGACCCTAACCCTAACCCTGGGACCGGGACGCCCTGTTGGTGTTGTCACTTAACAGAGATATCAGCTCGGGCAGAAAATGACTTTTGACATTTTAGTCTGTGTCTGGATGCCATAGTGCGCTTGCATTTCTTACGTGAGAGAACTTGAGAAGGCCTCTTCCGGAGACTAGCTAGCTTGGTCAACCGCATCTCTAACATAATGCGAAAGCATTCATATACATAGTTTCTCGTAAAAGATAGACATAACATCATGCTTCAAAAGTTGAGATGAATTTGCGAATAGAGTCTTGTCTGAATTCCTCGTATGTAAATAATGAAGCATCCGGAAGCTGGTTAAACCATCTTCGGGATATGAATCTCAGAAATTGTCCACACCGACCCGTCGCTATTGCTCGCCAGCCCCGAGTAGGTAGCACCTTGAGATGTTGCGATTGTCTTTCCAAAGTTCTTATCAGAGCCAGCCAGGGTGATTTCGGTATTAATATAACGTTGCTCAGCAATGGTCCCGGAACAGCCGTCGTTACACTCAGTCCCAGTGCCATATCCACGCATGTAAGGACCAGACTTATACGAAAAGGTGCTCAGAACAGCGCCAGTGTCAGCATCAGTGACATCCTGCTTCCAGGTGTCATTGTCGCTTTGAAGGGTATAGACAATTTTGACTTTCTGAGTGGCGCTCACGGGGCTAGCTGGGCCATCCAGCTGCCCAAACCAGCCAAAAAGCGAAGCTCGAACACACCACTGGCCAGACTTGGCGCCACACCAGCTGTTGTCCTGAAGCATAATGTCAACAAATCACGACTCTCGATCACAAATACGCCCTTTTGACGGGGATTGTCCAATAAAACCTACAGGCCAAGACTCAAGCGTCGTCTGAACAAGATCACCGGTTCCGTTGGACATGCCGGGCCAGAGAAAGAGAACTCCGTTCTGCGTCGGTGGTGCAGCACCCGGAATAATAGTCGTCACGGCCTTCTTGATAGTCGAAGTGGTTGGCCCAAGACTGACGGCGCCTCCCCAGCTATCGCGAGGGGCAAGCTGGGGCCCGATCTGAGGCCGGCCATGGCAGCTGCTGATCAGAGCGCCGCTGAGAACTGCGAGGGTTTGAAGAAAGTGCATCTCGAAAGTAACTATTGGATGTGCTTGTTTATTTTCTGGTTGGTATGCCTATCGATCTTTCTTTGCATGTTGCCATCGAAACATGGAATGTTATATATAGTTGCTAAACTCGTGTAAGTGGATTGTCATTGGAGCTGGGGTAGTTCGGAGCGACATCCTCCAGCAGCCACATTTGGCAAACCCAAACGAGGGCATCCCAAATGAGAGCAAACGGAACATCACTCTGCGACTTAGTCTTAAATATGGATTTTCCGCGGCCCTGGTTGATAGACAAACTCGTTCTAAAACTGGCTGAAACGCCAAGTCATTCATCTCTTCGGGCATGCGGTACCGGGAATCAGGATTCAGTTGATTGTTCCATCCAGTAAAACGCTTCTCCCACCGTGTCAGCGAAGACACATGCAGTGCAAGGTAACGTTGACGTATCATAGCCGCCGTAATATCTTGTTCAATTGGGCTCATTGCTACTAATTAACGTATACTCGCACCTAGAATGGAAATGCAGAGAGCATAGGATCTTGCGATGTCAATAGCGATTGATTGCCACCGCGCTTTTCTCATTTAGAAAGCCTTTGAAGATTCCCTTGCAAATTAGTGGGGTGAAGGGGGCTGGTTTCAAGGAGATGCCAAGATGCTGAGGCGGTGAGGAGGAGTATATCAATACACATTGTGGTCATATATGCATATATATCGGATCCTTTCTCAAGCTGGTTGACTTTCCTGCACTAATGCTTGGAAGGTATTACTTTACTAAGAATAGATTACCTACTAAATAGTTTGATGATCGGCAGCAGATAGATTCATCCAAACACAACCACAGCTATAGATTTTCCGTGAGTATTTTGGTTCGTAATGCCATGCAACGCATAGTATCAACCTCGTATCCCGAGACAAATCCTCCAATCATAATCCCATAGGTGGAACCACGATATTTTCATGGACCGATGAAGAAACCAGGTCAGTTGAAATGGCAAACAAGAAGTGTTCGGCTTGATCTACATAAGCAGCTATTTCCTTCGGGCTGACTTTCGAGCAACATTTGGATCGTGCTCCGAATAAGCCATGATGGTCCACCGCTCGTCGTAAGGCTTTGACTTGTCGACAAAGCGAAGGTCTGTTGATACTCTAATACGCCCACTGGGCGACTGATTTTTGGCCCCCGCATGGATGGTGTATGGGGTATGAAAGACAACATCTCCAGCCTCGTACTCGCCCTATTTACAATGTTAGCCTTACAGATCAGGCCTGATGTTGCGCTCGTCAAGATGTACTTACCACCAGCCATCCCCGAGACCACTGTTCACCGAATCTGCCCGCATTCTTGTCGAGCCATCCTCCCTTCTCCATGTTTCTGTTGAAGGCGGAAATACGCTCCTCGTCCGAGAGTCCGGCGTTCATTTTTGAAAAGTCCTGCTCGTAGTTTACACCAATCTCGTGGGCGCGATCGAGATAGATCAGGCCTCCCCCCTCAACTTCAACATCCCCAATCGGTACCCAGACAGTTATACTTGTTGGAGGACCAGCCCTTAGAAATATTTGATCATAGTGAACGGGCGTTGCTTCACCTCCTGGGACAGCGCATCGTAGTAGAGACCGTGGTAGGCACCAGGGCTCACTGAATTGGAGCATTTTCCCGACAAAGGGCTCGATCTGGCGCCCTACTTCGTCCTTGAAGTCCAGATACTCCTGGCAGTGATGAGATCGAATTGCGTTCTCTACAAAAGGTCCTTCATCAGGGAGCCCGGCAGCGACGCGGACAGCTCCTGGAAGAAGATAGTTTCTCCAATCTTCCCCAGAGAAAATGCCCTCCTTGGGATCTGTCCCGGGTTTTAACATCCCTGTACCTTCGTTTACCATCGAAAGGTATTGGGCGCGGAACTCATTGATCATTACTGGATCAAGAAGCCCTTTCACCTGGATGAATGGTCAGTTAGTTGGAAAATAGAAGCAGCAACTACAAATACCGAATGAATACTGCTTACCCATACAACTCCATCCTGCCAATACCTTCTTCTAAGCTCCTCCATGGGCGTGTCCGGAAAGCAAGGGGTAAGGTAGCTCGTGTCCTCAATTTTCTTGTCATTTCCGAATAAGACTGGCGGCTTCCTTTGGTCAGGTTGTGAACCCACATCCTCTGATGGACTTTGATGAAATCCAGCGTCCAAGTCGAGAGGGCTATTGGGCCAGAGAGTTGTAGCGGCCATAGTGAATTGCCGTTGATATTGATATTCTTTGGGCTTCAATAGATCAAAGATCTCAGTCGTGACTAGTATTTCGCAAGATCCTGGATGATATGATTTCGCTTTTATATAGAGGAAGCCAGAGCATGATCCCACTCCCCCGATAATGACTACCCCGCAAAGGGAAAAGTAAGCCGATACAATAATTCGTAATCATGAGACTAATAAACGGCACATCATACCCTTCTCTGAAGCTCTTCCGTCTTTCTGCTGGGCTCTAGAGGAACAAGGCGCCGGGGAAGAGATGTATTTTCCCAATTAGGAAAGTAGAAGCTTCCCCGCCATTCTCCGGGACTGAGAAATTGCAGCCCACCGGCTTGGAGAATACCCGCGTTCAACCCCGTGACGATTAAGTACTTTATCTTGAAAGAGACATGTACATGCCGGTTATAGACAATTATTGTGTTTGTATTGGTAACAAGTGATATAACTCAATGCAAGTGCTACATCTTATTGTTGCTAATACACCACCCATGTCACATTCGTGCTTCGTCCATGTCGAAGCCAAGATATTCATCAAACATGGTTGGGCCAAAGAACAAGTTAGACCACGGGCCTGCAAGATCAACCGGGACGCTCTCACAATCAAAAGCCAGGTCATTCAACTGAACCCCTTCAAAGTCGCCACCGGCCATGTCCATGCTCGGGAGAGAAGTGAGCTTGCTCAGTTCATTCAAGACCTCCACGTACCGTTGCCCAACAAGGTCTCCTTCCACACCAGAGGGAAACGCCATCCTTGCCTCTTCGGCCGTGTTGCGGGCCTCGGACGCATTTGGCCATAGATGACAGTACATGAAAAGTGTGCCGATGGCAGCGAATTGCAAATATGTCACCAAGTAGAAGACCCGGGAGAAGAGCCCCCTCTGAGCCAAGTATTTGCCTTCAGCAACAATTGTGTTAGCGGCGTCGATGGATTTGTCGTGACACCGCTTTATCCAGCCCTGGAAGTTAGGCGCGTCGTCTACCGATGCCTCTAGGGAATATAAGATGAACGGCCGATACAACAATAAACTTGCGTGAGAGAAGGTCAATTTTAGAGTGCACGTCTGACGCTGTGTCATGATTGACAGTGCTGAGGTGGGGAGTTTTGTGTAGTCGAGATAAGTTGGAAGATTGTCTTTCCAAGTGCTGAGTTTTATTTCAAAGGTAGCCGCCATGTTGTGCAGCTCTTGAATGCTGTGCCTCCGAGATTCTGGGCCATATAGCTGCTGTAGAATCATTCCAAGAATACGGGCAAGCCTCGAATAGTGAAAGAGAGCCGCTGCAGAACAAAATGTGTCTCTGGGGGAAGATCGACAGGTCGCAGCGGTGATATCGACGTCGTTAGCCAGGGTGACTTCCTCTTGGTCAATATCGCCGTCATGCAATGCGCATGGTCGACCGAATATGCTGCTGAGAATACGATCGTGGATATAAATGGCCCAGAAGAGCCTCTTTCGGGTTTCCAGGACTATCAAATTCGTTGGCGCCCTTGCGGATCTTCTGTGAAGGCCCAGTGCTTGAGCATGACGAACAACGACACCAAATATAGACCAAGCCTCGTGCATACGAGAATGGTTGAGTAGGTAATGTGTGATTAAGAGCCGAGATTGAAGTGAGGCTATTGAAATCCGACTTGTTCCCTTCTGGAGTTGCTGATTAGCCATCTGGTAGAATTGGACGCTAATGTTTGTCAATATCAAGTATTCCCTTCGCTATCCAATTCTTCTAGTTCAAAGGTTGACGTACCTGGCAGAATAGCCACACCACATATTGTGTAGGGTCGAGTAGTGGGAACCCAAGGCCATGACCATGTAGATAAGTGCCAGCCTATCTGTCCCAAGTTCGGCGATGCTTGCCGGATCATACAATTTCTCATAGTCTTCTGTCAGGCTAGGCTGATGGATGAAGCGCGACGTAGAAAGACCGAAATTGAAAAAGGTCTGAAGCAGCCCGTCTGCTATTTGCTTTGGAGGCATGACATTGGGTCCAGCAGGCGCAGTGAGGGGGTAATCGCAGAAGTCAATGGACATGGACGGCACACTTGCTAATTTCTGTTTGGCGAATTGCAGGAACGCAAATTCCGAGGCGCCCCCATGTACATGGCCATACTGGTCTTCTTGTAGGGAAGCATCTGGAGGGCTCTTGTCAACCTCTCTAGTGCTGCCAGCAGAAGATCCAGCTGGAACCGTGGGAGAGCAAGCATTCAGATCTTCTATTCTTGACTCATGGGAAATTGCCGTGATTGCTGGTGATGGTACTGAGATGGACTTCCTTTTGCTAGCCCTTGTTGAACGAGGTGTCTTCTGAGGTGTGCTCACTGTCGGCATGTACTCGCATGTCTGTCCATTTTGCTGGCAGCGGACACACGGCTCATGGCCGGAACATCTTGTCTTTTTTCAGCGGTGGCTGTCAATAATACGACCTTTTTTGCTCAAACGGTATTCACCTACTCCCGACAAGTGTTACATGCATTTCGGATCTTGGATAAACGGATAGCCGGCTTCCCCGCGGCACCATCAGACCCAGGTCGCCGCCTCTTCCTCCTCCCGTCTAGCTCAGGATACTGGAATGAAAAGAGAGCCGTCTCGGGTGTTTCTGCGTTATTTACCGACATGTCGAACCAAGCTGCCCATCACCGGACATTTCGATTCCACATGACGAAGGAATCGACGAGAAAGTAAGTGCAAAAAGTTGAGTCAACTGGGCGACTAGTCAGCTGTACTATTTAGTTGGGTATGTATGGAGGCCAAAGAGTGGATCATTTACTGCTCCCCCACACGAAGGGCAGCATCCAATTGAAGGAAATACAAAGTGCGAGTTAGGGCCGGACTCTCTCTGTAAGTTGTCCAACCAACCAGATCAATCCTGAATCCCAACGCAGTGGGATATTCCGAATGAGAGAAACGTAGAGTCCGGTTGTCTCATAATTATATTGTTAGCTCTGATCGTATCTCATCCGATATTAACATGTATCATACACGGCAATAAATCGTGATAATTTGATGAACTGTTGATTACGTGGATAGTTTGGGGAAAGGAGAAGGTTTTGTGAGGTTTTATTAGTTATAGATTGATCGTTGTCACTTCACGGATACTACAATCCTGTAGCAAGAGTCGTAAAGGACATGGAAGCGAAACCCCATTGACTCAACCCCACACTGTTAGACAGCACCTGGTAGTGTCCAAGAAGAAGCGTAGACCTTGAATTGACTTCCCCTCAACTAGTATCTTAGACATAGAGAGCCGACCAGGGAAAAGAGTCCTCTCACCTGATGAACAACATATCTTCCACCAGTGGACTTCAAGCATCACATTCCCTGGTATTGAAGCTCGGAAATTGGCCGAGTGGGACCCAGAGGCTCCTAATAGTCTAGTTCCCTGACTTGGAATTCCTTAGTATGTTGATCTCGAGCTCACTCACGACGAATGACGTTTGTTGTTAAGCACAGGGGGGTCCCTTCTCAGGCAGTCGAGGCCTAGCACGGGAATAGATAGTCGGCTTTTCCAACTTTAGATGATTCGAAGATCGGGCCGAATACTACACATACTTCCCATGACACTGACAAGCAATTGAATCTCCAGGTGGTATTATGCGTGTGGACGGGAGTCGGCAAGTCCCATGTATGTTGGGCTGGATACCCATACTGGGCGATGCTACACCCCACACAAAGCTTCTCGATCCCGGCAATAGGACTACCCCTCATTAGATAACCCAATTCCTACCTTACCAAGTGGAACTTGCGGGACTTGTCCGTGCAACATTGACAACTGATGGACTCAACGCCTAGCATTAAGCATATTGAATGACAGTAACCAATTCAATCCTCGTTACTTTCATTAGACAAGCAAGATAACCAACACTATAATATAGTGGTTCATTTGACATGCCATCTTGAAGTATCTTCATGATAAAAACACTAGACCTTGTTGAGTCTGCAACACAGCACGTACCAACTTAAGCGATCGTCACGCTTAACTTTAACCTGGATAGCGTCACCGGAAGAACTACTACAGCAACCGCACGATAACAGGCTCTCAACGACTCGCGTGATCCTAAGAGCAATACCACATAGTTGTTGGATCACTCATGTGTCTTTCCCGATTCAAATTTCGATTCCATGGGTGAGGATGAGGGGGACCTCTCAGGTCCATGCTTGGGATCCGAGCGGAAATTAATGCCGTCAAATACCAAGACAGTCTCGTGTGACTGAGCATTCGAACATAGCTCCAGAAATTGTGACGCTGCACCACATGGTCAGAGCTAATTTACATTTAGGTTTGGTGGAAGGATCTTAGCACCGAGTTATGGTTCGGATTCCGACCCCCCCCTTGACACCAAGCCAAAACCATCCCATGATATGAGCCGGAAGAGCCCATAAAAGTGCCCATATACACCAAATCAAGATTGAAATGATTGTTCTCCTGCGGACATCGTCCGACCAAATCCTTGTTGCGAGTGTCCCGCTACGGAATTCGGCACCCTCACGCCTTGGTATTTATTAACCTACATGACATTACATGTTGCGCGTGTTTAGGAAAGGGGAAAGATCAACAGAGAACCAAAACGAGCCACCAATAGTTCTCGTTGAATGATATGATATAGACGTTAACACGATCCTTGTATTTGAAGCGACCTCAATCTCCGAGCTCCGAGAGATCATGTTCAAGCACGGATAGAGATTTAAGTGGAGGTCGCGCAACGGTCAGCTGCACAATACGTTGTCGCTCGGGGTAGGTAATGGCATGTCTCTTTGGTAGAAAGAGAGTTGCGGTTATGGTTAGTCGAAGACAACGTTATTAGATATGATACTCCGACATAAAGTGCCAAACCTCATCGATTTCACTTAGATATTTTCCAATTCTACTTAAGGCACAGCAGTTACTTAAGACTAAGTAAACTGATATATACAAGTGTAAATTCCCTCTACGATGCCACCCTGCATCAACAATCTGTTTTGAAGCACCCATTTCCAATCATACATCTACAATTTCCAAGCATGTTCCCATATCCCCCACAGAGCCCCCGCTCGAGCCCGACCGCTACATCTAGGGACCCATTCTTATCCCCATGGGGCCTCCAAGTCTAGCCGGAAGAACACAGCCACAGCGATCTGCTAGCTCGAACGGACAAAGTGGACAAGGCTATGGATGAGTTTACAGCCAACACTGCTTACTTGGTCAGTGGAGCTTCGGACAGTTACCGACGAGAGAGAGTGCGGAGTATCTGGATCTTTCGCCTGGCCGAAGGCTTGGTGAAGTCCACCGACATCAGCATCCGTCATGGCCCGAGAGCATCTGAAGGGCCAGTATGACAGCATCCATACAGGCCAGCGTGAATTATGGAGTCCACTGCATGAGCTAGATGGGCGTCTGTTTGTCTTTCGGTACCAGAAGAAAAGTATAAATATAACCTGTGCTTCGACCACAAGGGAAAATCTATCTCACAAGCGTATTGAATCTTCTACCGCCCTTTAGAAGACCAGAACTCCTGTTATTTCCCAGCCAAGATGCCGTCTCCTGCCGCTCTTGCGGCCTTGGCCACCCTTATCCTTCCTGTCATAGGCCAGCCCCAACCATTCGTGAACATGATGACGCCAGTGATGCCGACGTATTCCTCTCAGACAAAGGCACAGGGAGAGTAAGTATTGCCAGTCATTGGAACTAGTCTTGTTTGGAAAGTCATACCAACTTACTCTGTTACAGCCGATCGTTGGCTGTTGGCCGATTCCCGGACAGACTTGAGCTCTTACGCCCCTCTCTCGACAACAATCTCGTCTCATACTCGGTCACCACGGAGTCACTGTCGGGAAACTACACCCTTGCCGCTTCTGATGTTCTGGCTACAATCTCACAGAGATGGCTGGGCGAATTCATGCGCCTGTAAGTTTAAACCCGAGCAGGTCAACACTACAACATATTGACAATTCTAGGTATCCGAATGTCACGCTCAATATCCATGCGCCATATGCTGGATCATTGGGTGCTTTAGAGCTCGTAAAAGGAAACCTACAAGGTGTCTTCGTATCCCGAGAGCTCAAGCCCACCGACGTCAGCGGTTTCAAAGATGCATTTGGCTACGATCCCAAGTCTGTCCCTATTGCAGGTGGTTCGTACAGGCAGTTTGGGTTCTTGGATGCTATTTCTTTCATTACCCACAAGGACAACCCAATTGAGAGTTTGAGCTTCAAGCAGCTTGACTCAATCTTCAGTTCCACGCGCAACTGTGGAGGCAGTTCTATTGGCAAGTGGCGGGATGTAGGTGTCAACGGAACGCTCGCCGACAAAGACATCAACATCTATGGAATTACACCGTGGAATGGATTTGAGGAATTCGTCCGCCAGAAGGTTCTGAGCTGTGGTGGGAAGAGAGGAGAGTGTAAGTACTATTCTTCTGGAAATCCAAAGAAGATTCAGAAATTGATCGACCACAGGGCGTTCTGGCGAAGATACAAACACTACGAAGAAAGACCCTCACGTCACCTGGGAAGAAACCGTCTTCAACATTTCTCGCCTTGTTTCCGAAGATCCCGCCGCCATTGGATACACGGGACTTGCCTATGTGGACAGCCCTGTCAAAGTGCTGGGTGTATCCACGACTGACGACGGCCCTGTTATTGCACCCACATATGAGAATGTGGCCCTTGCAGACTGGCCCTTATCGCGGGTCATCTATTTCAACACTAACACTGACCCTAAAGCTGGAATGGACCCGGTACTAAGGGAGCTCCAAAAGTTTGTCATTTCTAAGGAGGGCCAGAAGCTCCTGCTTGATCAGGGAGTATTCTTACCACTGAGGAAGTTCCAGCAAGACAGCAGTAGCAAGATGCTGAGTTAGACAACAAGGTATTAGGTCAAGTTCCTCATATGTAAGCCACTTTAGGGAATGTAGATAGCTTATAGAGATGGATATATTTGTGGAAACATATTCGTCAAGACAGATAGAGTGGACATCCACTATATATAACCGACAGTTTGAAGGCTACCAAAATCAGCACGAATATATTCTTGGGCGGCTTTCTTTATCATCCTCAAAGCTGTTAGAGAGCAGTGCAACTGAGTGACTTAGTACTAGTTGATGATCTTCCAGTATCTCTAGTAAGTGGGATAGGCCAGGGTGCCTTCGAAGACAAGAGTAAACACTCTCAGACGTTAAGGGTACTTTGGCGATAGGTAGCTCCATACTGGTGTAAGTGTGGCGACATTCTGAGCAGTGTGCTTCGCTAGGATTGATGTTTGGGTTCAGATAGTCCTCGGTATCGTGATGGAGGATGTTGAACTCTGCCCGTTGCGAGAAAGATCTCGGGGTCAATGCTGTCAAATTGGCGCCTGATATCAGGAGAAAAGCTCAACATCGTGATCCCGGCCGGGAAACTCTAAAGTAAAATAAGCCTGACAACCTGGTGGAGTGTGAGATCAACTCCATACGCCCGGTGGCGTCAAGACCCTATGGTCGCCTAGCAGACTTTCCGCTTGGAATGCAGCCAGGTGTTAGGAACTGCCGTACAGGGATAACAGCAGAGCATTGCAGGAAGATTAGAATTTCATCATGCAAGGCAACAAGCATTCAATAATCAGCATCTTATTGAAGGAAAGATGGTCTCATTTGTTAGTGTCCTCCTCGCCATAGAGTGCGCGGTAAAAAACCATCTCACCAAAGTCCGTTTCCGCTTTCAGACCTGAACTCTTAGCGAGGTAACCGTGCCGTAGAGCATTGTAACCGACTACGACCCTCCTTACCAGTTCCTCACGGACGACTTGCCTAAACAAGGTTGTAGACACAACCAACTGCATAACAAGGCTGACAAAGGATTCAGCTTGCCGGGATTCCAAGGGGTTTATCACCCCGCTCTTCGGGAGCATTTAAAACGCGCATTCAAGAAAGCGTTGAGGCTGTCTTTCAACAAATAGTAGAATCAGTGGTACTGGAAATCTCAGCATTGCCCAGCACTATGTCCGAGAAGCCAATGCTCCAGGAGTTGGTAGCCATCCTTGGCGTGCCAACTCTTTTGGAGGACATTGACGATTGCCAGTTCATAACATGCCTAGCGACGAACACCAAAGACTTCCGTTGCGGGAATCTTAGGAAAAAGACCGACCAGAAAAAGAGCATAGCCCTGTGGAACGAATTCAGCTTGATGAAGGAATGCGTTCTAACCGACGAGTTACAGGAGAAAATCCAGTCGTTCATTCGTTCTTCGAACTGTCACCATCACAATTCCGACAATTCCAATGCAATGAAGGGGTTCAAGGCCTGGGTAATATCTCGGGGGAAAGACAAGCCGGTCCTGGCCAAGTCCCTTTCGTCGGAAGAAAGCAGCAGCCCGGACCTGTCCTCAGCGTCGCTTAGCCAAGACACAACGACAATAACGATTGAATCCGACATCAACGAAGCAACGATCGAGTCCGACGTCAAAGAACCAGTCCAAACTAAGAACACTTCAGATGATAAAGAAGAAGTGGCGGCAGTAACGGAGGTGCTTTCAGCGATGACCGTTACCGATAAGGAGTTCAAAGCCACCGCGGTCGTCACAACCATCACCAACGAGGCGATCAAAGCCGCTGCAGTTGTCACTACCATCACAAAGAGCGACACCGGGGCTCACGACGAAGTTGGTCCAACCCACATCGATGGCTTTGGCACGGTATCGCAGCTCCAAAGAAAGGACTCATTGCGAAGTCCCGCACCGCTCTTCGAAGAGATTTACCGCTATCTAAAAAAGTCTCAACAAGAAGAAGGCATCGTTTACATTCTTAAACACACATCTGACCGGAACTTGTTCAAGATTGGGTACACAAAATATGACTCGGAGAAACGTCGCAAGATGGGGAAGAAGTGCAATGTGGACAACTCGGAGACCATTTACGAGAGTCCGCAAGGCCACTTCTTCGCCGCCAGAAAGGCCGAAAAACTTGCCCAGGTCTTACTCCGTCAACACAATCTCAAAGTCGAGAAATGCAAGAAATGCGGTGGCGGTCACAGGGAATGGTTCCTCGCTTCGGAGAGGGATGTCCTCCAAGCTGTTGAGACCATGGAGGCTTTTGTCAGATTGCCTGGCTATGCCAAGTGCCCAGAGACGAAGCAGTGGAAGATATCAATCGAGGGGTACGAGAAAATGAAGCTTTTGGGCGGCGCCTCACCGCGAAGAATTGGAGCACTTCTCCGCGAAGAGCAGGTTAAGACAGCAAGCAAGGATCCAAGTGATCCAACCGAAAAGATCTCATCGGAGCATGGGAAGAGCGTCAAGGACGCTGTCAGTCCGGAAACTCGCACGAGCGAGCAATCTTTCAATGAGGATACGAACTCGAAGAAGTCCGTCGTCGTCGTCGAATCTGTCGAGCTGGATGACACAAAGCCGGAGCCGCGCAGATCGTCAGGGGCCGCCAAGCTTGGCAAAAGTTGGAGGAAAGTGGTCAACGGTGTCGGCAAGGCCGTGGAAGGCGCGAGCGAGTACTTGGCCAGGTCACGAGAGGGGACTGCCGAACCTGACTCGCAGCGCCCAATGTCCTCGGCAGGCCAAACGAATGGCATGACCATGGAAGAAACCATATGGAACGCATTCCGGGGGTTTGATGCAGCTGATTGGAGTCATTTGGGGAAGCGAGTGAAAAGTGAGATTGGCACTTTTGTCACGGACTTTAAAGATGGGTTTCAGGAAGGGGAAACAGCTAAAGCATAAGACAGAGTGCTGTTTGAGGATGAGATGCAAGTATACGAAGCCATCTTGTTGTTTTTGAAATACCCGGTTCTAGCTGGAAGCAGTTATGTTTGTACTTTGCACAGTTCCAATCCTGTTTTTACTTCTTTACACCCGTTCAGCCTCTCCTCTGATGGGTTCGTTTTAGCAACCACTAGAGAGGTTTGCCTCTGACTAGCACAACGTCGATGTTAACCGCTATCAACACTGACATGCCGTCCACAACCTTGAGTATCTGGAATGTTTTTGGACATGTTTGTCTTAGCGTGGCTGCTGTGTTCGTCCATTTCTTACAGTATGGGAAATTGCCCGTGAAATAAGCCCAAACGTGCATTGAGATTAATTTGGGAATTCTGGATTAATTCTGTAATGTATTTTCAGGGGGCGCGACGAGTACTTGGCTGATGCATGCATGTTCGGCGAGCTGAGCTCTAGGGTAGGTATTTATTGCACGGTTTGCAGGTGGCGGTCGCATCTGCTATGTTCTCCTCACGCAACTGCTGTCAGCATCCACCACAACTTCTGACGTGTAATAAATTTCGGAATCTTCAGCCTAAATGTCAGATTTGCTTCCCACATCATTTTTCTCTAGTGGTCATTCCACGTTTGCAGTCATCGACCCGACCACGGGCAAATTTCATCGCCGCTTAGACCGCCATGGCTTCTTGACCAGCGGACTTGGGCGCCACGTTGCCATCTCCTACGTCTGGAGTGAATGGAAACGGGACCCTGCGTTAGATAGACTTCCTGACTGGGAGGCTGTGCGATCGCGCCTATCCTCGGTCGTGGGAAGCACGGCACCGAAGAACCTGAGGCCTGAGACCGGCAGCTCAAGTCGCTGCTGGATAGACTGCAAATGCATCGATCAGTCATCCGATACAGACAAGGCGTACTGGATTCCACGGATGGACGAGGTCTACTCGGAAGCTCGCTGTACGGTGTTGCTACTACGCTATGCCGACTTGAGTCCTTTGCAAGAATTGGCTGGCAAGGCATCGTGCCAATACAAGGGCCGACTCAATTCCGTCGACGAACTGCTCGCACCTCACAACTGTCTTTTGAATCAAGGCTCTTGCACTGAGCTTCCCAACCTCGGGACTGCAGAAGAACAAGCCTCTCTTGACTGCCTCAAGGGCCTGGCAATAGGACAATGGCGACGAAGAGCTTGGATTCTGCAGGAAATTCTTCTTTCCGAAAACTACCTTTTGAGCTGGGGCCCTGGAGAAAGCGGATGGATGCGCCTCGAGGACGTGGGCGTCATTGCCGATAGCCTTTTCCGCAGACACGGCACCGAGACGTGGCTGGGCGAGTTTGCCAACTGGTGCCGTCGTCTTTGGTATCTGCGACAAAACTACGGCGAGGCGCAGACGTACGAGCTCTGCGACGGGAACGTCTTGCAACTCTCGACGCAGCTGGAGGCGACTGTACCTGCGGACAAGTTCTACGCCCTGTGCGGGATTCTGAGGCTCAAGGGCGTTCGCTACGATGCAAAGCACACTGCCAATGAGGCACTGCAAAACGTCGTCGGAGAGCTGGTGCGGAATGGCCGTCTCTCTTGGCTGTACGCCATAAGGCCTGTTATGGCACAGCCAACGACACCTGGCTCGGTGCCGCTGCGGATTTTGAGTGACAGCCTGAGTCCGTTTGTGCTGTTGAGACTCAAATCGCGACTTACGGCGAACAAGCAAAAGATGGAGATGACCGATTCGCAGATGACGGTGACGGCGACAAGAGTCGGGACAGTCTCTTCGACTAATTCATTGAGGGAATACTTGAATCAAGCTACTGCGCTTACTGCGCAGCAAGCCTCGACTGATGGCCCTCCCAGCTCAGACGATCTGTTCATGGCCCCAGCCGTGATTAGGAGATTGGCAATCGACGTGATTGGCCCGCTTCTTGCGACTAAGATGTTTGAGATATTGTGCGAGGGCTTGGGAATACCCAATGACCAAGGATCTCGGCAAAGAGTAGCGAGTATGGTCATGGGATTATACTCTCATGGTGTGCAGGCAACGTCACCTGGCGCGAGTCCTTCTGGGAGTGAAAAGAGCCAGCAAGTGACGCTTGCTGCTTCATGGTCTCTTCAACGTCAATTGGCGCCTCTTCTCGACGAATTCCAGATTGTGAGATACTCTTCCGGTAACCAGCAAGAACAAAATCTTAATCGCCACATAGTTCTTGGGAGCCCTGCAGTCACTGTGGGCTCGATTGTCTATGCAGTCAAAGGGGACGAGGATCTCTTATTTGCGGCAAGCGAGCCAATAGATTCTGGTGGCTCTGCTGCTTTTCAAGGCATGATTTTGCAGCTTCAGGCTGGCGAGGCTTTGGGCCCAGTGGGTAGTAGCTTGTTTACCTCTCAGTTTTGGAGAAAGAAGAAGCAGAATGAGGATCAGACAACACAGGTCGAGTTCAGGACAACAGTATAGACAGACAAATTGGATGTTTAAAATATGACGCAAGTGAAAGTCAAGCAAACACTTCGCTTATCCTTATGCTGGCCACAGGCAAGGTCAATTCGGGAACAATGAGTAGATAACACCCGAGCTTCGTTTCCACGGCAGCCTCACCTGCCAGCTAGATTCTAACGCCAATGCGGAAACTACAAACTTTCCCCCTACGTTCGGCATCCTCGCCAACAATCTCTTGCCTTAGTTGGCTCATTTCCTAAAACTATAGAAAAAGATGGAATAGTTTTACAAGCTTAGAGCTAATATACTAGCACGCTCCCACGCTAATTTGGGGCATGGTTTGGTGGGCGCAGTGAGGATAGGTTCATCACTCTCCGCTACAAGATCAAACTTGACAGGCTATGGGTAGAGTTATGCCGAGTACGGTAAGCTGCGTAGACGAACGAGAATAGATAGATAAAATCGTCCTATGGAATGGAATATATTATATGACCGAACTCGACAACTCCGTCAAGACTTGGTCCTACCGGCAGATTTCAAGGTGTCCGTTGCCCCCTCAATCCATTGAAATCCTGTAGGATAGCGTCACGGCCAGTGCTCCACTGCGGCTCCTCTGATATCAGCCAGTCCCCCTCCTTTAGTTTGGCCATGATCATCATCTTGCGCGGTTCCACATGAGTGGCCGCCCAAGCTGAACGATACAAACCCTGGGCTGGATAAGAAAACAACCCGAGGGTAGCAGAAGTGGTCTTTGTAACAAAGCTTGCTACCCCCTTTCCTAAGCCCTTGGTGGCACCAGCCGCACCTTCATTCTTCTTCCCGTGGTAAGTATGGACGAAAATATCGCTAACACCCCCAGCCATCCCTTCACAGAAAGTTTTCCCTGCCACTACTAGACCCGACTGGAAATCGTCCACCGGGTCATGTTTGCTCACAGGGGTGCCATAAAGCCGAGGTACGGCACGAAGACCTTCGGTAAGAGCGAGTGGGATGTCGATTAAGATACCCTTTGTCGCATTGCCAGCGAGTTTGCCGAAATCGCTCAGAACAGCCGATGCCGCTTGGCGTTGAGAGCCCAGTGGAAGGTTGGTGTTTGGAACTCTCGCGATCGCCTCGGCCAGTTTTGTTGATTCAGGAGATGCCGGTAGGGGAAGCATCGCAAAAGATGGCGCTATACTTTGCCTTTTTGGGGCCAACTCTTCTGTAACTTCTTCTGTCTTGCTCTTATGGACTTTGAATGGCCTGATTACAATATCAGCAGTGTCACCTACAATCCTGAATATTGTAGACAGCGATGCCGCCGATAGTGCAGTGACCGGATCCCATCGTAGGCTGTCTATTGTGATTGGGGCAGGCCGATACCTGTTGTTCAACGGTGAGCATAGAAGCTGTAAGACTAGTAAAAGCGGAGGCTTACAGATCCAGATGTTTGACCTGGAGGCGTTGTTCTTTGGCCAGCACCGACGCTGCTTGCTTACACATCTTGACTGCTCTTTTGCCCTTCCCATAACAGAGTGACGCCGTAAATTTTGGACGAAAATCACATCTCATCTTAGCCAACGGTAAATTTGTGTGAAATGCTTGTACCGCAGCCGTGACCCCGTCTTCGTGGATAATAGAGTCGGCGATACGCCGAGCAGCTTCCACCGCTCCTGGTGTAAGGCAAAACTCCAGTGCTTGCGTTAGGTTTTGTGAGGTTAAGAATCGGTATGGAATGGGCTCTGGCCCAGCTCCAGCCTTTGCAACCACATTACCCCAAAACGGTTGACTAGGAATAGGTTAGTGTTGCTGTAGATAAATCTCTCGTGGCGGGTTGATCATACTCTCCGAAGAATGGAATGATTGTGGTAGGCTTTGCATATCGCAATCCACATGCCGTTGTTCCTGCACCGCCATGGTGAACAACAGCTGCCATTCGTGGAAATAGCCATTCGTGAGGGCAATCACCAATGAAGAATACATCTGGAGAATTCTCGCCTCCCAGATTACTCCACCCTTGCGAAATGACAACTCTCACCCCCACAGCTCTTACTGCGTTGAGTATTGTGGTCAAAAGGCCGTCGCTCCCGCTCGCCACGATACTGCCGAACCCAACATATATCGGCGGAGGTCCCTGGCTCAAGAATTTCTCCAATTTCAAGGGAGGGGAGTAAATAGGTTCATCTCTAAAGAAGAAACCGCCAACGTCTGTTATCGGCATTAGCGTAAGCTTTCACCATGTTTAGCAAGGAGCCATACTTATATGAGAGCCCCAATCGCTAGGCTTCGGAACCAGTGAGGGTGACCAACAATATGTAAACGGAATCTCAAGTGCTTCTGCAAGCCGGTGTCCTTCCATACCAGGGACGGGCTCTAACCCCAGCGAAGAGACTCTCCAGTCATTTACCAAATCCCCAAGCCTGTCAATCTCATTTAGTCTCATGCAAAGTTTCGCGGTTGGATCCATCTAGGAGTTTTACCCTTGCCATGTAAGCAGCTCAATAGCAGCATATGACGCGTAGTTTGCCTTTTTCGAATCTAAATCGGCTGCAGTAATATTTGCAAGCGGATGAGCAAAGTCCGTCGTGCTTGTCCACGGCATCGTAAACATGAGGTGTAGCGGTATCCCAAGAGCTTGCGCACAATGGACATGGGCAAAGCTTGGAGGATTCGCAATAATGGCGTCGGCAACAAACGGAATACTGCTCTGACTGTCGGCTTCGATGCACGATTTCCAGAATCCGCTCAGCATCTCCTTATACATGGCTCTCTTTCGTTGGACAATTCCGGCTCGCAATTGTTTCAAGGTGGGTATCATCGATGGCGTTTCGACCATGAATGCCATCAGATCAGCCGGGTCTCCACCAATATCAAAGAACTCGAGAGAAGAGGACTTAACGAATTCCTGAAACTGGGCATGTGTCGCGATCCTCACGCGGTGACCGAGTAATTGGAGGGCGCTACCCAGTGCCACAAATGGCTGAACATCACCCCGTGACCCGACAACCTGTATGGTGATGTTGAGAGGAAGTATACTCTCTCGCGCGCTATAAGATGGAGGTTCGCTCAAACTTGCCTGTCCAGATAATATGTGCGGATTATCAGGCGGAGCCGAACGGCAATTGTGAAGTTGAGGTTGCTGTAGATCACAGGAAGACTGCGCCTGATTCGAACCCTCATCCTGGCCATCGTAGTTTGTGTGTTTTAAATCTCCTGTCGAGCCCATTGTATATTCTGGAAAGCTTACACGACAGAATAGAATAGCAAACAGTAAACAGTGAACACTAGCGGCACCTCCGTACTGGATGACGCGGGAGCAACGCGTACGTCCTTTTATCTGCTCTTATACCTTTCCTGGTGGGTCTACCCCTGGCTGTATTTGGCCGAGTGGCACCGATAAAATCTATTATTGCTCGGTTAATGAATCAAGTGAAATGGCTAGCACCATATTAGATGACTCCTACACCCAAGCCTTCCATTTGCCCAGATTGGCTTTCCCACCCTTAGCCTAGCGAAGCGCCTATCACTGTCATGGCAAAATAGGAGATCTTGTAGCGACCTTTGCTAGTAGTTCGAACCCCAAGTACTCTTTACCAGAAGACTCAAGAATTAAGAGGATCGAAGATCGATACGCTCTAGTTACTACGTTCATAAGCTTAACTGGGATGAATACCCTCAAAATCCCAAGTCCTTTACCCGTTTAACTCTCCAGATTCCCTTCTCTCCACCAACTCCACGCCATCCTTCGTCTTGTTTCGTCGTTGTGCACAACACCAAGCACACCCATGTAAGCAGCTCAGGAGCCAGAAACACATGCTAATGAGCGACAATGCAGCTATGGCAGTAAAAAGGGCCACTCTCTTGCCTTCCAGAGACTCATCTCCAAGCATTTTCTCTCTGGCACCATCCTTGAAAACTATCATTCCAGTTACTCCCGCGAGCGCGGCCCACAAGATGCCAATACAGAAGTCAAGAAGAAACCAAGCACCATGTTTCACTGTGGCAATGCAGTGGGTAATATCGGTAAGGATCGAGATGACGGTGACAACGATGGCATAAATGTGGTTTGTCTTGCTACCAATTGCTGAGAAATCGGAGGCAACCAAGCCCAGAGCAACCACGCCTAGGACAAATTGAGTGATTCGAATTCCAACTCGGATGGGGAGGCCAAATGGGCCGGCGAGGGACCAGTATTCTCTACCCATTGTCGTGGGGGTTAAAGGCTGCGGCGGCTTCGGGTATATTGGAGTGAAATATGATCAGTGAATCTCCGAGTCTTGTTGAAAATATGAAATGAAAAGGAGAGTGTAGAAGGGTTCTGCAGAATGTGGTGGGCTTCGTCTTTTCTGTCATATCAACGACCACATCCACCCACTCAGGCAGATCCACTCTAATGGGACAGGGAGCGGGTTCAAATTGAAACGGGGTACAATTATGGCCAATCAGAGAATTTACGGTTTCCTAAACGAATAATGGGTCCACTTGGTCTCATACGAGTTGACCCTTGATGTCGTCACTCAGATATGCAATGAATCAATCCGGCCGGTCGGCTAAGGAAGGGGGGGTAAGTGACAAGCTCAGGTCCTACAGGTGGCTCCAGGCATTCACTTAGGATACTTGTTACTTTTTAACTCATCAGTTGAGATCTAGATATGGTAGCTACCCTCTACTCTCGTTCCCGCATATAGCTCTTGAGTCTGTCCGCAAACCCTTCCTTTATAACTGAAACTTGCTTTATGTCAAAGCATTTCTAAGTACTGCAAAAAGACTGCTTCCTTTGTGCGTAGAGTATATAAGCTTCAGTTCCTGGGTGAAATTCATTTTGTCAATTTGGAGTGTTCAGATAGACGTTCGTTTAGAGTAGCACCACGGGTCTACCCCATGATCTGTGAAAAAGTCCAAAGGGCAACTATCAGATTGGCTGGCCGTAATAATTCTGCCATTTGATGGCTCGCCCCTCATTTCCAATGATTAGTTATTTTATAGTCGTCTTCACAACTTCCTCAACTCACCGTTACCAGTCTTTCCTACTACAATGAACGATGACCGTGTCAGGGTCGAATTAAAAAATCACAGCTTCAAGAATGAGGCACGACCTAGGAGTTGAGGAGTTGGTGCTACTTGAAAATAACTCAGGTGCAACTTCCTCGGTCAGATGGGTTGGGAGAGATCCATGTGAAAATGAACAACGCGAGCCTCACAAGAGATGTCAGATAGGTTGACACTCTCTGCTTATTGAGTTGCAAAACTTCGAGCAATAAAGCAGTCTTAGACTTCGCAACTCAATTCAAATATCACTTTAGTAATAAAGGTAGCAGTTTGATTGACAAGATTTAGATAAACATATGGTGGCTGCCAATTCCGTGAAGCTATTACGCAGACACTGGGACCTGGCTCTCAAGCCAATCATCCAAAACCACCGTGGCAGGATATTCCTTGTCCCCGAGGCGGAGAAGCATTTGCATATGGCCCTCAAATGACTCGCCTTCGAACACGTGAAGGTTGACACTGGTACCTGCCGCATTCAATACCGATTTGAATTCCTCTGTCTGGCGAATATCCCCTTGTCTCTCAGCGTGAAGTAGAAGGAAAGCGTTCGCGTTCGGCGTGCGGGCATTGTATGTCGGGGACATGGCGCGTAGTACGTCTGTGTTCCTACCAAGTCCTGCTATCATGTTTTCAGCGACCGGACCCGGGCTGTCCAGGACTTCCGCCATGGCGTTATAATTGGAGCCATCCAAGGATATGACTGCTCGGATGTTATGAATAGCCACTCCGGCCCGGTCCAGATAACTTGTATCTGTACCCAGCAACGTCACAGTATGTGCACCAGAGCTATGCCCCATCAGAATAATGCGGCTGTGATCAAATTCTAGCCTGGCTGCGTTCCTGGTCAAGTATCCCAGGGAATTAGCCACCTCCTGCACCTGTTCTGCCACCGTCACAAGAGGGAAAAGGGTGTAGTTTACGGTAGCAAACGCATAGCCCTTCTCCAGCAAGTGAACAACTTTGGTTGATCCAATGGAGTCCAGATATGAGCCTACCCTCCAGCTGCCACCGTGGATAAAGACGATAATTGGGGCGTCGGGGGAAACACCCCTCCAGTAACGTAACTGGTGAGCATCACCCGGGCCGTAAATCAAATCCTCGCCTCCCGTTGGTTGATCGGCATTCATGATATTCATCAGCGTTTGTACTCTATCCGCTGTCATCGTATCTGTAGTAGGCCGAAAAATGTCAAGACCAGTAATTTCCCTCCCTCTGGCGGCTTTCTCGATTTGAGTTAGGTCGGATGATGAGCTGGACTCGGCCGAAAGTGTATTTGAGGCATCCATGCTGGATTGGTAGTGGCTTGTATGCGTCTATCAATTTTAAAGAGGCAAAATAATGACTCAAAGAAGGGGGTTGACCTATTTATATAACCGCGCCGCATGTGAAGAAGGGGTGGATCTGTTGGGTGTAATATCACGCACTGGGAGGGAAACTCCTCATAGCTATCATGACTTGGATTATGCTCCAACTGTGCACTGGTTGGGAAGATATGGAGCACGACGGAGGCCGATCCATCACGCTTACCTATATTGCCTTTCAACCAAATGCGTAAACACTATAGATCCCCAAAATCAGGGTTAGGGTTAGGGTTAGGCCTCCAGGCACCCTCCAGTTCTCTTATGTCTCATTGAGACAAATAGGCTTCCGCACCTCCCAACTTTGGAGGACTCCAGTCTTTCTCACATTATGAACAAGGTTAGTAGGCAACGTCAGCAATATCGTCCTCGTATCTTTGAAACCTTGATGATGCGCCGAAGTCAGCTCTGTTAACCAAATGCACCCAAAAATATCATGCCCGGGTCTTTTGCCAAGTGGCAGACAGACAGACTAAATGATCAATGCTTGGTCATCCTACCTCGCCCGGGATATGCCCTCACGCCACAGACTCATCATTTCACGTCGTGTAGCATATCAACGGCCCTCATCCTGCATTCTTAATATGCAGATAAACCATGGTATATGCCATGAAAACTGCACGGTCGCCAAAGTCTAGCGAAACGGAGGAAAGCGTCATCCCTTCATTTATGGCTAGAAAATAGAAATGGTTCTATCTGGAGTTCCGTCCCAGGTTTCATCGTCCCAATAAATATCATCAGGCGTATAATCCCAAACGTCTTCACCATCTAAACCATCCCTAATTTCCACAATTCTATGCATCCTAAATAGACCGATAAGGCCAACCCGTTGGTATTGCTCGCCCAACTTCTTCAATGCCAGACAAATCATGGTACATGGGGACTCTTCGGAAGAATACCCGCTGGGGAATTTCAATAGCGGCAAACACTCTATCTTGGGAAGCGCCTCTCGCTCCTCGAGACTGTCAAAGCTCACCAGACCAACGATTTGCGGATCTTCAGTTCCATTTGCTTTGTCAAAGACGCCAGCAATAGAACCATTTCCACCGGTATACAAAGCCCTCAGTTCGGATTCGAAACGGTATTCTTTCGTGACAGGGCGAGTGATGGCTTCTCTCAATTTTCCAGTTATCTTGATATAACCTCCTGGGTTAACTTTGCCAAATGGGTTATCAGCAACATTCTCCGGTTCTAGGTTGATTGTCTGAATAACTATCATTTGCTCAAGCTGTCGAAGATCCCATTTCGGTTTATGGCCCCATCTCTCTGCTGTAGGAAAAGATACTGGTCCAACAGGATTGGCTGCCCAAGACCAAGTCGGGGCAATGTAGCCATCACCACTCGTCCTTTGTGAAGGCTGCGCTCGTCTCCTAAGCCAAATCAAGCCTGCGATGATGTCGTCCTTCCACAAGCCGGCCACGTATTTGGCTGGATCCGTCAAACCAAAGTTTTCGTGAAGAAGCGAAGCCACGCCAGCCATGGCGGGCAGTTGGTCAGTGAGGAATGTTGCGTTACGGGCAGATAAAGCACTCACGGCCGTATACCATTGATCGTAGGGGAAGCGCATCTCCCCTCGAGTAGACTGGCCAATGACCGCCTGAAGGTCGCTGATATTTGAGCCTCGTCGCCTTGAGAGGAACCCGGATGGGATGTTTTCCGGGATGTGAGTTTCCCTACATCTCCACTCGACGTGGTCGGATAAAAACACCAGCGTCCTTTGTGACAAAATCTGCTCCTGGACCACCCACAGCCTCGTCTCTAACGGGATAAGATACTGGTGAGGGAATCGGTGGATATAGGCACGATGTTTCTGCCCATTTAGGCGCATTGTAAGGAAGCACGGTCTGAAGAGAAAGCTGTCACGTTCGACAAATAGACCGCTGGTCACGTCGCTCCCGTTACCTGCGCCGATGGTGAGTGAGGAATTCCGGTAAATGTGACCCATTTGACTGATTTCTCTTCCGACATCTGCCGTATCGTCCTGGATAATACATAGTGCATCTATCCATATATATCGGAACCCAAGAGCACGAGTACAATTGAGGGCATCCCGAAGTGTTGCGTGTAGAGTTGCAGGTAGCGAACGAGTATGCTGGACAATGTTTTCTTTGAGCGATTTGAGAAATTTGATTTTTCTTTGGTCCCCCCAGCAGTAACTAAGAGTGATATAGTGATGTCGCTGCCCAGGTTCGGCGTTGTGAACTCGAGGAGGGTCATCATCTTTGAGTCCTACATCAACCACTCGTGTTGGTAGGAGAGGGGGTTTGTCGTCATTTGGTTGGCAGGAATGTGTATCCCGGCAAACCTGCAACCATCTTTTGGCCAGTCGAATCATGTTTGGGGAACCAGTGGTGTTGTTTCTTTCCTTAGGTCGCACAGGATCATACATTTTGCACCAATCAGCGGGTTCAGATGAACCTGAAGGGAAGTTAGTGATTTGCATCTAGAGAAATACGTCGCTTGTATAGGCCTCCCTTGCTGATAGATTTTCGCAAGGACATCCCCGCTATCTTGCCCAGCCCAGACCGTGATAATATGCTCCGCCAGTTTTGGATCCTTTGTGTGGGGGATGCCGTTCTTCAAGGTCAGGAAGATCTGCTGAGGATTACAGTCGAGAAAGTTGGGCCTCGCTATGGATTCGACTTGTAATGACTCGGATAGGAGGGCGCATAAATGACAGGTTTTCTTGCTCTCTTCTAATTGCTGCCTAGTCGGATAGTGCAAGTAGTATGTATTGATCGGCCAGTCCTTTGCTGGGGTATGGGAGGTGTCTTCGAATTTCACAGTTGGGTGTAATTTGATGCCTAGCTCGGCCAGCGGCTGAAATGATATGTTTTGGCAAATGACACAAAGATGAAGCATAGTGATAATATCATCTGTTGAGCATAGGGTGCGAAATTCATCAGAAGTGAGAATGAGGCGAAATGCGAACCACTGCGTGATTATCAACGGGCGCTGCTTACAAGGTACCTAGGTACATAGGTACATAATCCCAACGGGTTACCCTATACCTCGCCTCTCTGCCCGTTGTCTCGGCTTCCTTGACAACTTCGAATATTCGAGGACTCTTGGTGAAGATGATATTAACATTATATGCGTTAGATCTGAGAAAGAAGGCCCATAACTGGAAGCCCGATTTCAATGGGATAGCCCTATGATGACCCAAGAGTAGAAATGCACTGAACAGATCTTAGTAAAGGAAGTGTTCTAAGCATTGTAGAATGGACTGCTGCTAGAGTTTGGTAGCTTCAAAATTATAGATCTTGAATGGACAGTCTATATTTTCTTTCTACTTGAAAATTTGGCCTTGATGAGTCACAATCAACCGCTTAGTCTGGTCGTCTAGAATGCTCCCAGCCACGAATCCCTCGACTCCTTGTATGAGCATCCGGTAGAGGTTGTCTATTGTTGTTTGAGAAAACCACGCGAGGTGGGTAGTGATTGTCAAATTTGGTATAGCCTGACTCGGGTCATCAGAGTCGGGAATCAGAGGAGTTGTGCCTCGGCCGCCAGGCTCTGTCTCAAGCACGTCGGTGGCGGCTCCAAAGATGATCTCATCGCGGAGAGCCTGTGCCAGCGCCCGCTCACAGACCACACCACCCCTTGACATGTTGATTAGGAGAGCCTCAGGCTTCATCATTGAAAATTCGGGCTCGGAAATCAGACCCGTGGTCGATGCGTCCTTCGGGCAGCAAACAACGATCGTTGTGGCGCGCTTGATCATTTCCTCGAACAACACCCTTCCCTCTCGTGCCGTGCTCGCCCCCTTTCGTTCGGCGATAATCACCTCACCAAAGCCAACAGCCGTAGCTAGTTTTTTGATATTGCTCCCAAGACCGCCGTACCCGATGATTCCCAGCGTCTCTTCCCGGCAGCTCAATGGAGGACCTTGCTTCCACCGCGACATGAGACCCCGGTTCTTCACCCACTCCCGACCCGGTCCGGTGACAGCGCCATGGATTTCCACAATCTTCTTGCGGGATGAAAAGTAGAGTGCGAGGAAGTGCTCCCCTACCGCCTCGACGTTGCTCTGTGGGCAATTCACCACGGTGACCCCACGGCTGGCAAATGCCTCTCGGTCCAGCCACTCACACCCAGTCGCTGTAATAGATACACACTCGAGTTGTGGCGCCTGGCTGAGATCTTCCTTCGTTATCGGCACCACCGATGTAATCACGATAGTCGCATCCTTGATGCGCTCCGCAACCTGATGAGGCAAGGTTTGAGCATGGGCCGTCTTGGTGTGAGGGAATTGCAACTCACGAGGGGGGAGGGAACCCGCCTCGAGGTAGACAACGTGGTGTTTGGGAACCTCCATAATTATCATGAAGTTGCAATGTTCTCCATCGAGTTCAGCATACCGATTTAGCCAGGGTGCAGAACAAGAAAGAGGCCAGACATTATTTAGGTATTAAAAGGGGTTCCTTCTCGATGATAACCCGTAACTGGTAGGTGATAGGAAATCAGTCTCCGTAGCTACATGCGCCCTTTCTCGTGGTTTCGCCGATACCGGTAGGTTGAGAGATAAGAGGCAAGTCACCACGGCTTAGCTCTCCGTACCATGGAGCTGGGCAATCCTATGCGAGCGGATCAATTTCCAGGTGCATAGATTGGGTAAAACAAGCGACCAAGTGGATTCAATGCTCATATCAGTCTAGTACCATCAACCCAGACTCCGCCAAAGGGACCAGCCAAGACCGACCATATCTTCAAATCTTGATTAGACCGACCATATCTTCGTATCTTGATTACCTAGACCGACCGTATCTTCAACATATCTTGATTCTACAGAAGGATTCCATATTTCTGCGGACCCTTGGCGCAGGCGGCCACGCCAACCGGCCTCTTTGGCAGCCTTGCCATCCCACCACAAACCCCACGTTCTGCACATCGTGGCTCTTGGCCTTTCAAGACGCCTTGCGGCGGGGTATGCATCATTCCGGCGCCTCCTCGGTTAGGTAGCCATGGACTACCAAAACAAACCAGGGTCAGCGTCAATCAGATCTCATCGCCGGAACCCCTGGAAATTTACACAGAATTTATTGCTGGCTACCACCCTAAGTAAGTAATTTCTGTGTAGACCCATGTTGCGTACCAAATATCGCTGGCATGCCTCTCAACTCGTCTATATCCTAATATCTCTGAACCTCTGCCACCGTTGGCGTTACCATCTCATTGGGGTGCAGGTGTAGATGCAATCAAAACCCGAAGCACTGGAGGTTCAGACAGTAAGTACACGAATTACTTCTCTACTCAATGCTGACCAAAGTGATTAATAAAATGAATGTCTAGTCAATTGTGGTTGTGTGTAATTTGACCAATCATATACACTCATCATGCAGGGGTTGAGCTCGGTCAACCACCAACCTCCTCATTCATAAGCTGAAAATTTCAACACAAAATCCACTCATTACCACAGGCCCTTTCGAGGAACCGTCTGTGATTACGGCTCGGGTGCGGTCCATTGCCGCCGGAAGCAAGTCAGCCTCCTCAATGGCATCGGCAAATACTCTCAACAGTGATGACGGCGGTGCCAGTGCCGTCGACATCGCCAGCAGCGTCGGCACTTGGTTGGCCGCCGGCCTTGCCATCATCGCGCTCGTCGGTATAGTCGGGCCCTTCTTCGCCCTCCAGGCCTCCCTCAGCGACAGCAACCGCGCGATGAACGCCGTCCAAGACCAGCCGCAGAAATACATCACCCGCGGCTACCGGCTGACCAAGGGACTACGCATCTTTCGCCGGATCCGCGTGCCCAACCTATCGCGCGGCTACATCTCCAATGAACCTGACGACACTCCCCTGATGCCCCTTTCGGCCGCGTTGGGTCACTTTGAATTCACACCAGGCGACTACTTGCCCTGGAATACCGGCTGGGCCAAGCTTGCGGAGATGATTGGGGCGTATAGCGCCCATGATTCGGTCAGTGACAAGCCGATTCCGCTGGGCGTTCCACAGCAAGGCGGCACTCTCGAGGTTGTGAACGGTCGAACGACTTTGGTCGTTAATAAACACTGGATCCTGCTCCTTGGCCTCCTCGGGCGCTATGGAAAACGCAGCGACGGCGGGGTGCTGCAAAATCGAGGCGTGCGGAGGGATTTTGGAGGCGAACGCGGATCCATCCAACACTTTGGACTTTTGCGCAAAGAGGCCATAAGAAAGGTTGGGCCTTTACGGCAGAGAATAGCCTCATACGAGAGGACAACGATGGTTCGCAGAATAAGACAGGAGTCGATCTCCTCCTCCGACAACAGCGAGACGGACTTCGACTCCGATGAAGAGTGTATGTCGTTGCGCCGCACGGCATATGGGGAGTGGATACTGGACAAGAGGGCCCAGCCAATTCTCCACGGAGTGACAGGGACCATCAAAGGACTTGGGCGTCATAAAGGATCATGGAGCTACCTGACGTCCATCTCGTTCGTGCCGCACACAGCCAGGGAGATCTTCCCTCGTTCCATACAAACGAAGCGTGAGTCTTCATCGATGCAGACGTTGTTTTGGCTTGCTCATGGCTTTCTCCCATCTGGTCGCACGCCTGAGGGTAGGCAGATTGTGATATCTATGGAAGGCTCTGTGCCTGGTATGGATTCTAGGGACGTCATTGTCCCCTCTGGCGAAGCTCCAGATTCGTGGACGCCCTTCACTCTCACTGAATCAGATGACATCCCCATCTCTCTAGGACATGCAATGAAACATCTCGGTATACCCGAACCGATGGTATTGCAATTCCTTCCAGTCGATGGGGCGAAAGGCAATGATCAACCGTATGTTCACCTTCATCCGGTTCTTCGGAAGCCCATGGCCCCCGTAAAACCCGGCACGCCATCGACGACAGACACAGATGCAGAATGGCAGGCGGATGCTGTGGCGCAAATGGGTCCGGCATTCGGTGTCCATGATAAATGGCTCTTTTACATGAACGAAATCGACGGAGTCTCTTGGACGTTTCTTCGGGCAGAGCTAGAACGGCCTTTATCCATTATTCTCAGCTTGGATTGGGATGAATGGGGGTTCATGTTGTGGAAGGATAGATTCTGGATATCACTTCTTCAAGGCTCTACAGCCATTTTGCGAGGAGAATGGATCGGGCATACCGTTTTTGCCGAGTCTCTCCAGCTAAATTATCCCGTCAACGCATTTCGGTGGAAGGTGCAAAGTCGATTCCAACAGCAGAAACTCAGAGACTATCTTCACTTTGATACGGCCATTTCCTCGCTGATCAAATCGTCAGCAGTTATGCCTCTTCGCCTATCAATTGCCATACTTTTCATCATGGACCCTTCGTTCCGGGATAGGGTTGAAGCAGTGTGTGAACGACTCGGTAACCCCGAAATATACGAAAAGGTCCAAAGGGAGAGTTGGCCAGATGAAATAGCGAAAGAGGAAACAATAATGAGGGAAATAGAGGAGGACTATGAGAGAGACAAGGCGAGGCACGAAGATGACGAGGAACAGCTGTCCGCCAAGTCAGACACCGGCCCACCCACCTATACATCACTTCGTAACATGTGGGTTGATATTTTAACGTTGGATAAGTTTGGCATGGATTACTTAACTAATACGGTATGTCTCCTTCATTCTGACCTTCCCACTTCTCGTGGCCATTCCCTTTACTGGTCTTTGTGTACAATTCATTGACGCCATTTCAGCCCGACGGACATCATATTCTTGTAAAACGACCGCTGCAAGAGTGGGAACAAGACTACGTTTTTAAACATACTTCCCAGGCGAGGAAGGTCGCGGAGATGAAGACACTTGAGGAACAGGGTACGGTGACAGCGCTGGAGTACGAACATAAAACGAACCAAATAGTATGGTATCGGGACCAGAAGTCGAAAGAGCAGTCGGAAACCTGGAAGCTTGGCACCCGAGCCCATGGAAGGCCATCAAGCAATGAGGTACTTCCACTAACAGAGAAGGAGATTGTTCTTGTGGGATTGTGGGCAGCGAATCGAGCTGCGCTCTGGCTCAGCGCTCAGGATTCAAGGCCTCTCCTATCTTTCGTAGAGGACTTGGACCCTTTTGTATACGTCCTTTAGCCACTGCTTAATTACTCCTACCACTGAGAATTCTTTTAGAAATAACAACTCTATATGTGACCTGGTATCAATTTTGATTCCCAATGTGATGCGTCTCACTGCAAACAAATTTCCAAGGTCTTGCGAATAGTCACAATCCTCCAGACTCTCAACCCATCCATACAAAATCGATCTGAATCTCGAGTTTGCTTTTACGGTCTACTCTAATCAACTAGACTTTCAAATATCTCCTCTCCTAAAAGCCAAAATTTCTCTCATGATCGGATTTAGAGGTAGACTCATATCAACATGGTTAGGGTTAGGGTTAGGGTTAAACTTATCGGAACAGACCCAAGCACTAGACCGAGCGTATTGCGTAATAGTTATGATTATTCTTTCGTCTACTGATCAATTATGAGCGGGTTAGACTTTGGCCATGGCCCTGGGAAACGTGCAAGGATCTAGACGTTACGCGGTAATTGTAAGTGGGGGCACATGAATCTATTCAACTTAACGTGCAAAGAGCCCAGACTGGTAATATATACTGATGTAAGGTGATCATGAAAGAAGATGGGATCAAGGGAATTCCGCCACATTATCCAAGCTACTTGGAGTCTGACGCTTTGATTTCGATCCTCCTCGCCTTGGCCACAAACTCTCCGATGGATTCAATCGTCTTCCCACTGACAATCTCAAAAACAGGCACATCGGCCAAAAACTCTTTGCCAAGCCAGCTCCTGAACTCGACAGCAATCAGTGAGTCGACACCGTACGCATGGAGGGCCTGGTGCGTATCGACGTCCTCGGGCTTGATTGTCAGTGTCCGCGCCAGCCGCTTTGAGAGGGCCTCAACGACCACCTGGGCACGCTCGGCCATAGTCTCGGCCTGACGGAAGAGCTGCCCTGCGTCCACGGCCGTTCCGTCGCTGCTGCTGGCGGATCTGCCTGGGAGCTGACTGAAGCGGGCGAAGAGCGGCCTCTGCAAGACCTCGGGTGGCTCGACTGAGCGTGCGAGAAGACTGGCAGGGGTCTCAAGGCCCATCACCATCTGGCACTGCTGCTCGCCTGGCTGGTACGACGGGTCGCAGCAGATGTTGAGCAGGGACAGGAACTCGGCCTCCTCAATCTGGATGAAACCCTTCGAGCCCTGGAAATGCTTCTGAAGCTTCTCACTCTCGGCGACGATGCCGATGCTGCGCATCACGCCGAGGTCGATGGAGATGGCTTTCTGGCCTTGCTGGCTTCTATATCGTGCCAGTGCATCCTGAAAGGTACATCCCGCTGCATAGTTGCTCTGGCCTGGGTTTCCGACCACACCCGAGACGGATGAGAGCAGTATGAAGAAATCCAAGTTGGGGAGCAAGGCGTGAAGGTTCCAAGAAGACTCAATTTTAGAGCGTGAGGTCCCCTCCCATTGTGTCAGAGTCATGTTTTCAAATATGCAATCCTAAAGATAAATCAGCAATCATATCCATAGCCATAATACGATATTGAAGATGAAGATTTGTTTCGTTTCTTACGTTCAGGACCATAGTCGCAACGAGACACCCTTTGATTGGGGGTAGAGTCGCAGCAGACTCCTCCAGCATACGCGCGAGAGACTCTTTCGAAGATACGTCACATTTCGGCGTCGATATCACGACGTTCTGATCAGAAAGCTCACGCACAAGCTCAGAAGCTGCGGTAGAGGCAGCACCAGATCTCGATGGGACGAGCAAGTGTTTCGCCCCTCGCGTGACCATCCACCGAAGTATCGAACGACCAATACCGCCGAGACCACCAGCTACAAGGTATGTGGCATTCTCATCAAACGTCCAGGTTCTTCGCTTTATCAATTGTTTCTAATATGGCGTCAGCAGTCATTTTTCTAATATTGGATTTCAACTACGTCTCATCTCTTACCTCAACGACCGTTGATGAATCAACACGGATCACAATACGACCTGTGTTCTTCCCACTCGCAAGATAGCGGAACGCATCTTCCACCTTATCCACATCGTATACGTGGAGAGGGCTTGGTGCTCGGACACTTCCTTCGCTGGCCAGATCCATCGCCTTCTGCAGAAGCCTCTTCGCCAGACGCTTCTTGTTTATGTCTTTTACTATGTGGTGAAGGTCAACACCTGCATACAGGCAATTCTTCTTGAATCCCCCCATTGGCAGCGACGAGTTGGCATTGATATCAGCCTTGCCAATCTCGATCATTCTGCCATAGGGGGCAATGCACTCCCAAGAAGCACGGAGAGGCTCGCCTGCCAGGGAGTTTAGAACAACATCGACACCGTAGCCATTGGTGATCCTCTTGATGCCTTGGGCAAAACTAGTGTCTCTGCTGTAGAAGATATGGTCAGCAGGGATGCCACACTCGTCCATCAGGAGCTTCTTTTTGTGGTCGTATCCCACGGTCGCAAAGACCTCTGCCCCAGCCCATTGAGCGACCTGAACGGCCAGCTGACCCGTGCCGCCAGAAGCTGAATGAATCAAAACTTTCTCCCCTTTCTCCAGGCGTGCAACTTCGATGAGACCCTGCAGTGAGGTCATGCCGGGGATAACGATAGCGCAAGCGTCTTCGAATGAGACGTTATCTGCGATCTTGGCCGTCGTCCATTCGTGGGATTTGGGGTAGGCCCTCATACCGTCGACGGTCTGCATGCACACACGCTCTCCGGCCTTGAACGATGTGACCTCCGCTCCTACTCTTGTCACAACACCTGCGCAGTCCGCACCAAAATCGTCTTCGTCTAGGCGGCCGAGGGCAACAAACACGTCACGGAAGCCGACGCCCCAGACCTTGGCTTCGATCTCGACATCTGTTGGGCGGAGCTCATCGAAGTAAGCAAGGTCTTCTTTGAACTGCAGAGTCTCAAGTTGTCCACGAGTTTGGATGACCAGTCTGAGTGGCGGGCCTGGTAACCACGGCTCAGTGATGCCTTCTGGTTCGATAGACAGTGTCAGATCCTTGTTGGTGTTGGTATCATCAACGAGTCGTCCGGTCAAGACTTGGCCGTTCTTCACAATGTACTCGTCATCAGAAATGAGCCCACCAAATGCTGATGCAAAAACACTAGACACGTATTTGGCGCATGTGGAGACACCACGGCTGTTGTCACCAACCGTGAGAGAGACAATGCGATTTAGAGCATACTCAGAACGTAGCGTACGGAGGAATCCGTCCTTGATCCCCGCATAGACATAGGATGAGGCAAGATCAGTGGTCTCTGCATCGTATGCAGTAACCCAGAACAGATTTGTTGATTGCCGTACCCATTCTCGAACAAGGTTTAGAGTCTCCTGCTTCATAGGATGCAGGAATGGCTTATAGACATCCGCAAGACAGATAACATAATCTCCCGACTCGAGCTTCTGGTCTGCCACCTCTTGCAGTGTGAGAACTCGAGAGTTCCATCTAGCGGCCTGAACGATCCTATCTGCAAGCGACTTTTGGAAGTCAACGTCATCGATCACAACGAAGACTGTGGTACCCGTGAGTGGAAGGCTGGGCTGCGTCGCTTCCCTCGACACCACGAGGCTATCCTTGATGACCAGGTCGGTGCCTGAGAATCCATTCTCCTTGAGCGCCGCATCCAATTGGGTGGGAGCTGCCGTCCAATCCCAGTCTTGCTCGTCTTCATGGCCACTCCACCAGTCTGCAGCGGCGCCAAGGGCGAAGCCAATTTCGAATCGGCCAGGGGCAGTGATCTCGTAAAGGAAGAGCTGACCACCAGGTGTAAGCACTTTTCGGAGGTTCTGGAGGACGGCTGAAATTTCCTTAGCCCCCCGTATGACGTCTGCTGCGAAAATCACATCGTAGCTCGCAGGCTGTAGCCCTTGCGCGATTAGGTCCTTGTTAACATCGAGGCTCGTGAAATCTAGGCGGTGCTGATGTTCAGCAAATCGCTTTTTGGCTTCTTCGAGCAGTCCGGTGGACGACTCCGAATATGTGTACTCGGAAAATGCTATTCCGCCCGTACGAGCTTCAATTCCCTCGAACACTGAAAGGACGTAATTTGTGAGAGCGCCCCTACGGGCGCCAAGCTCAAGGATCCTCTGAGTCGGCTTCTGGTGAGCTAGCAGTTCCACGTGGGACTCGAGATCTTCGTTCAAGACTTCAGCTACCGCTTCATCAAGATAATCTTGAAACGAGGTCGATGAAGTGGACAGGTCGACATCGTGTGCTTCTCCACGAATTATGGAGACAAAGTTCTTTGCGATGTCTGCAAACACCTTCCATGAGGGTTGTTTCGTGGCCAGATCTTCTATTTTGCTCGTAAGATCGCCCAATTCAGGAACGTTCCCGTTTGTCTTTTGATGAATTTGACGTTCTATCCAGGAGATGTACTTCTTCATGTGGCTTGGAGCCTTCTCCCAGTCGATATCTCCCAGGCTGGCAATGCTCTTCTGTGCGACGGACCTTAGGGTCTGTTCAAGCTCTGACCGGTCATAGACCGCTGTCTCCTCCTTCCGTGATGGCTTTCCATTGGTTAAAGAGCCATTGGGCTGTTCAAGAGCAGGCAACGACGCGTGAGGCTTCCAGTCAATATGATGTAGCAACGTCCTTGCGCTAGTAGCACCAACTTCACTCGCCATGAGCGGCGACATTTCCAGCCACTTGATATGGCAAAGAAGGCCACCAGTTTCCGATATTATAGACACTTCGCAGTCGATACCAGCACCAATGGGCTTCAGCTTTGCCTCTGTCAAGACCTTGACCCGTTCCGAGGATGGGTTAAGCCACCCGGTCTCCGCAATCCAGGCGTCCTTGATCTGGTGAGGGACGGAGGTCGGGATATTCAAGGACATTCCATCAGATGGTGGGATAGGGCAGATCTGTAAGCAGGAATCGAGAATCCCAGGATGGACAACGCCCTCCTTAAACGAGTCAACCGGGGCCCCAACGTTCACTTCGGCAATGGCAAGATCACCCCCGTCCCAGCAAACCTGGTCAGCAAGAGAGAAAGTTGGCCCGTACTTGAAACCGTTCTCTTGGAGCCATGGATAAAAATCGGCATTGGGGATGCTGAATTTTGCGTTGCCTTTGGCTTGATCGTATTTGCGAGCCAGCGACGCAGCGAGAAGCTGGTTCTCCTGACCACCATCAACTTCAGTGCGAGCTTCCTGTGCAAATTCAACATGGACGACGCACTTGGCGCACGCTCTCCAGTAGTTCTCCGCAAACGAGAATATTTCAATCTCGAACCGAGTGGCGGACCTCTCGTATGTCTGCTGTAGTGAGCGGAGCTGTGTCACGACCTCTGTTGTCTGTCCCGGGGTGACGACGATGGGACTCATGAATGTGGCCTCCTTCACATGGTAGCCTCGGATGGGCTGGTTTCCACCAACAGTCTGTCTCGCTGCTTCGATTGACATGACAACTGAGCCGACCGCGGGGAAAACGACGGCGTTGTCCACGACGTGATCTGCCACCCAACCAACTTCCTCAACTCTAAGCATCTTCCTCCAGCGCGGTCGCAACGGGTTCCAGTCACTTGCACGTAAGCCCAAGAGGGTATTTGGAGAGCCTTCACGAAGTCGCCAATCACGAGTGACTCTAGGTTCATGCCAGTATGCCAGCGTCTTATCGAATGGGTACTGAGGAGCGTCCACTACGAGCTTGGCAGCCGGAGAGGCGCCATCCTGTTGGTTGGCCGCTGTGATCGAAACACGATATCCACTAGTGAACAGCTGGCCAACCAGCTGCATAAGGGTTTTCGAGGGGGGTTCCTGTCTCGACAGTACTGACCCGTATCGGGCCGTGCTGTTGCCTGCGTGGGCCAGGGAGTCGCGTACGGGTCGCTGCAATGCTGCGTGAGGTCCGATCTCGAGATAGTTGGTGATGGGCTTCAGGCCATCTAGCTTAGGCGCTGCGTGGACAATGTATTGCAACGCATCGGCGAATCGTACGGGTGACACCAAGTTGTCGACCCAGTATTGGGGATCCAGCAGGGTGATTGGCGTAACCTTCTGAGTTGTGACGCTTGACACCATGAAAGGATTGCCGCCGTGCTGCAACTCTCGTGCCTCGAGATGGCCCATGCTGGACCGGTACTCATCTGCGACTTGAAGCATAGCAGGCGAGTGGTAGGCCACGCCCGTCTTGAGTTTTCTTGCGAAGACGCCATCCTTGTCGAGCTCTACCTGCACCTGATCAATGGCAGCCTCATCGCCGGACAGCGTGACGTTGCCGGGGCTGTTGATGCACGCAACGGAAACGCTTCCGGGCAGTGGTTTCTTTGCCAAGTAGGACTCGGCTTCGTGTTCCGCGAGATTCACGGACATCATCGCCCCTGGTTTCAGCAAGGACGCTGAAGCGACCTGCCTGGCGAGACGGCCTCTGTGATAAGCGACTGTGCAGGCAGCACGAAGGGAGAGGGCTCCAACGGCATAAGCTGCCGCGACCTCTCCCGACGAATGCCCAACTACAACATCGGGGAAGATGTTGAGAGTGGCCAACAGTTCGACTAGTGCTATCTGAAGTGCGGTACACAGAGGTTGACTGAACTCTGGCTCATTGATTCGCTTCTGGTTTCTCAGTTCATCTGTCATTCTTCTTGTTAACGAAAGTTGTTCTATCAAGGATGAACGAGCGGCAAAATGCGACACTTACCAAATAATGACCACTCGGCTCCTACTTCTCGAAAAACATCCTGTATCTCGGCAAGTGTAGCTTGGAAGACAGGGTAACAAAGCAGCTCCAGTCCCATGCTGGCGTATTGCGCGCCTTGGCCGGTGAAGATGAAGGCCACTCCGACATCACGAGCTGCGCGCTCGCACTTCGCAGCAGGGAGTTTCAACGTCTCTAGAGTCCCCTGCCCATCTATAACGGAGAAGGACCTCCAAGCCATGAGACTACGACGCGTAGCAAGCGTGTAGGACAGGTCCTGCAGAAAGCTGGCATCGTCGTGCACCTTGGTTTTTAGATACCCATCATACAGACTTAGCATCCGCTTCAGGGCGGCTTCATCTCGTGCAGACCACGTCAGTAACTTGTATCCAGGCCTTGGGTCTATTTTGCTAGTTGCGTGGCTCTCTCCATTGGTTTCGTTTGCTCCATTGGTGCCTTTTACTCCATTGGCGCCGTTTATTTCTTTGATTTCGTTCCCTTCGTTCGTCCCGCTCGCCCCGTTCACGCCATTCGTCCCATTAACCACCTTCTCGGGCGCGTTGGTGAGAAGCCTGGGGCAGATGAGGGCGTGAAGATTGGCCACGAGTCCAAGAGCCTCAATGGTATGAAAAGCGTCGTCCAGAATAATGTGACTATTGGCTCCACCAAATCCAAAAGAATCAATCGAGATTCGCCTTAGGCCTTGTGTCGGCCAAGGGACAGGCGAAGTAGGCACCTAACGCTCATTAGCCTAGGATCGATCAAAGCGAATCAGGTCAAGTCCGGAGGTTGTACCTCGAGATGGTAGAATCTGGCATTGATCTTTCGATTCAGCTTCTCAAACAAAGCGTTCGGAGGAATGATTCCATTCTCAAGTATCATAATGCTTTTGAGAATGCCGGCTAAACCGCTGGCTCCTTCAAGATGGCCGATGTTCGCTTTGATAGAGCCACTGCCAGGAGATTAGGTTAACAAGTGTGTGAGGAAAATAATAAACGGAACTTCCACAGTCTAGACACGGGAGAGAGAGTTCGAGTATAAAGTTAAACAACAATAGAAGATGCCAAACCCGACATCTCAACACAATAAACAAACAGTCTCGGGACAAATACGGTTGCTGGCTGTGGTCCAACCGAAACGGAAAAAAAAGATTTAAGCAAATTGTGTTTTACTTACATGTAGAGCGGCTCGCTGGCGGACCTGCTGCCTCTGAAAACCCGACCAAGCGCCGTTGCTTCTGTCACGTCTCCAATCTGCGTACCGGTGCCTAGACCTGTCAGACGGAACGATTTGGGATTCTGTCACGGAGAACATACCATGGGCCTCCACGTAACGCGTTGTCTCGAAGCCCAAGTTGCAACTCTTGTACACCTGGCGAATGAGCGCCTCTTGCGCAGACTGGCTTGGCTGTGCGAGGCCTGGGGTATGGCCGTCTTGGTTCGAGCCGGTTCCCCGAATTACGGCACGGATCATGTCCCTGTCCCTTATTGCATCAGAAAGCTTCTTTAGAACAAGGACAGCGACGCCTTCTCCTCTTGCATATCCATTGGCGCGCTGGTCAAAGCTGTAGCACCGACTATCTGCTGATAAGAAACTCATGTTTGACTGATAGAGAGACCATTCTGGGCTTAATAGACTGTTCGCAGATGTTACTAAGGCCTAAGGAAACAGTTAGAATTTCTACAGTTTACCAGACTTGCTTTGGATCCGCATACCATGGAACTCTGCCCGTTCCTCAGGCTCTGACATGCAAGGTCCATGGTGATCATACTGGATGAACAAGCCGTGTTGACATGGATACTGGGACCTTTCAGATCAAAGTACCAACTGATACGGTTCGCCTGAATGCTGGGGCTAGTAGAGGTTGATACAGTTGCTGGCGCATGATCTGGGTCTTTGGCAATCATCATAATGTAGTCTTCAGAGGTAGACGACGCATAGACTGCTGTACTAGTTCCAGCTGCTTTCTCCACAGGAATACCCGCTACACAGTGTAAGCGGTAGGTTCAAAATTGAATCAGGTTGAAGGTTCGATGGCCACATGCCATTTTCTAGAGCCCTGTACGATGTCTCGAGAAGCCATCGCTGTTGCGGGTCCATTGCAGCCGCCTCTGCCTCTACATGTCAGCGTTTGGATATATCGAATAACAGAACTACCCTGCATACCCTGGGCTGTGATTGAGAAGAAGGGGGCATCGAAGGCGGCGGGATCTCCATTCATAAAGTAGCCCCCCCTTGAATATAGCTGATTTCTTTGTCAGTGAAAAGATAGGCTCTCAGACAGCTTTTGGTGGGACTTACAGTGTTCTTGATCCCCGAACCTGGCTTATAGAATGTCCCGATGTTTGCTCGATTCTCTGGCCACTCCTGCATTACGTTCCTCCTATTCTCAAGCATATCCCAGAAGCTCAAGTCATCTTCAACTCCGTCAGGCAGCCTGAAGGCCAGGCCTACAATAGCAATGGGATCCATTGGACGATCTACTCTTGGTTTGGGGTGATGCTGAAAGATCTTCAAACGAGTGACTAGTAGCCGAGAGAGTTGTATATGGAAAGGATAGATAGCGGCAGAGCAGGTGAAAGCTACCTACGATCATGCCATTCAGGGAAGACGTTCCAGAATACCTGTTTTAGGTAAACCACATATCCCTCTCGATATGGTATGGTGCTTCCTCGAGCAGAGGTCTTCTCGGCGCACCCCCTCGGCCCCCAACACCCCCACCGGGGCTACCGGGGTCTCCCATGTCAGAGATCAACCCCTTGTCGATGGTCCGGACAGAGTGCCCCATTTGCCCATGCCGCTACGCGCCAATGCAGCATTCGCCGTCGATATTACTACAGAGAAGAGGGGGACCGGCATGTAAGCCATGATACAATCCTTTAGCGGCGGACTTACGGACTTATGCTTTGATCAGCTCAACCGCCTAGTCTTAAGCAGGATATGGAGTGAGTACCTGTATAACTAAGCAGAGTATACCTTTATAATATTATACTTTTAATAAAAATACCCTTTTCCTCTTTGATAAGTTTAATATATTATCTTTTATTAGAACTTTATTATATACTTTAGTTTATTTTAAACTTTACCTCTAGCTAATATATATAAACAAGCTATTAAATCTAATAAAAAGTAAGTATACTTTATATAATATAACTTTTATATAACTAGAATTTGTTCTAGCCTTTTAAAAGAAAAAAGCTCGAAAATAAGTTCTCCTACTTACTTTAGTAGGTTTATTATATGAGTTCAACTGACTATTTGTTTTAACATGTAGCAGAAATAGCATGTACCATATCGGTCAGGTCGAGCCACCGCATCAATCTCATGGCCCTTCGTCCACATCCCCATTCAGATCGAGTCCTGTGAAAGCTAATGCACATACAGATGAGCATGAACTTTAAGCATAATATTAGGAGAGCTTGGGGAGTGTGTGTATGTATGAATGCATCTACGTAGGTATCCTTGCCCGCTTCCCACACAACCACGCGGGTAGTGCTCTCTTCCCGATCACACCATGCCCAACCCGTTCAACTGCTGCGTCCTCATCCAATCGTAGACTTCCTTTGCGGCCTTGGTCACGGGTTCGGCTGCCGTCCCCGCCTCTATGTCCATCATTTCTTGTACCCATACATAAATGGCCTCTACGAACCCTCTGACCTGCTCCTCCGTGTTGTAGGCGTGGATGATG